AGGAACGCAGACTTCTTGCTATCTCTCCCCTTCCTGAAAAATAAAAAGAACCAGCTTTCAAGCAGTTGTCTGTATCCGTGCACCGGAGAAAATGAATCCTCAGAAGAAAGGCATTTTAAGCAGCCTTTGAACAATTTGAAGCAATAGATTTTTTTCTGAATTTTTAAAAATGATTTTAACTAGCATGAATATGTGAATTTGTGTGGTGCTATTATTGAGTATTACTGCCTTTATAATAAGTCTCTATATTTCAAAAGTAAATAGAGATGTTCCTAGTTATTGTTTATTTCTAACATTTTTAAATATTATTCTGTCGCATTTTTCAATGATTTTACTCTACCTTACACAAAAGATCTGCAGCCGCTTTAAGAAGGGAAATTGTCAGGCTTCCAGTTCATTTCCTGACTTATGATTTCTACAGTTATTAACTGATCTTCACAATCTGGGCTACTATCTCCCTTAAGTACATTCCAAACTCCTAAAAGGCCTCTCTCCAACTCTGTTCCTATCGAACTGTGCAAGATAAAATTTGCTATATATTTGCTGTATACCCTATCAAGCATTATTTCTGCAGCATGCCAGATGTCTTCCAGCATTAGGAAGGCGGTTCATTTAGAACATTGACCTAATTGGTGCTGCTTTAAAAAAAAAAAAAAGTTATATGCTAGTTTCAGTATCATGAGAGGAGTCATTTCAGCCAGGCCAAAACATTCTTCCTTTCAGCCAATTTGCTCTACATGAAATATATTTGCTTTGCTTAGCCTTCCACCTCATTCTTCTATGTCCTCATATCTCCCCCTGCAAAACAACAAGAAAAAGAAAAGCCAACAGCAACTTTTTGTTAACAGGGCCCAGGTGAAAGATCCAGGTCTACAATCAATACAAAAAAATTCAGAAAACAATTTATGACAAAAACAAAATAAAACTCTGCGTTCCCATCGGCCTGGATATCTATCAATCAGATATCCAGCATAAAAGAAATCTAGAATAGCTGATCAGGATTTGTGCAAACACAGAGGCATAAAAACATTCTAGATAGACACTTAAATGCAAATCTAGATAAAAGTGTTCCTACTGACAACTTTAAGTTAACTTGCTGAAGACTGAGAAAGGTATTACTGAACTCAGAAAGCCAATTTACTGGTTAAAAGGATTGTGTTGCTCTTTCCACAGAGAAAAACAAAGGTTTTTTTTAAAAAAGTGATTAGTCCTGATAGCATGTACATCCAACTGGGTTATCTCTGCCAAGACAAATTTGGCAGTTTTTCATGTCTCCCCTTTTAATTTTACAAAGTTGTTTGACCAAGAACAAAAAAAAGTCCCTGTCTCCAATCTTACAATTAGCAAACTCCTTCAAGTATGGAGTAACTAAAATATGTAAACAGTAGAAAAGACAGGCTTATTTAAACAGAAAAACCCCACTACAGCCTAAGACATTGTTTCCAGTTGAATGCTTTCATCTTCTTTATTTTCTAAGTAAGTTAAACAGGATATTTACTTTTAACTTATTTCAAACAACTAATAAGTAAAGCACTTAAATTAGGCAACAAAGTGCTTGAGTCATTTAATGTGAGATAATCTTGGTCCAAAGAAATTACCCAAATTCTCTTTTCAGTAAATAACGATAAAGGGTAAAGGGCAAATTTAAACTCCATTACTCTGATTTGACGTCTATGAGGCTAAAAAAAGTCAATGAAGAATTACTAAAAAGAAATGCAATCAGCAATTAAGCCCCCTTTATATGATCAAAAACTTCCTTAGTTTCCAGTATCATACACAAGCTTTCTTATATTTAATGAATGTTCAAAGAGATTTAGTCTTGGATCAAATAAAGAAGTCCTTTAATCTAGCATTCTGTTTTCATCGGAAGTCAGCTAGGTGTACAGAGTCTATAAAAAATATAAAAATTACAGAAATATTCTTTTTTGGGTCTGCCTCTGGTCTGCCTCTCTCTACTGAAGGACCACTAAATAGAGTGAAGTGTGTTTGTGTATGTATGTGGATATAAATATCCACATACATACAGGCATTCCTCAACTTATGACTAAATTCATCTCAGCATTTCTGTTGCTAAGCAAGGCAGTGTTAAGTCAGTTTTGCCCAATTTTATGGATCCTTTTGCCACAGTTGTTAAGTGAATCACCACAGTTGTTAAGTAATCATGCAGTCATTAAGCAAATTTGGCTTCCATCCTTGACTAGGCTTGTTGGAAGCCAACTGGGAAGGTTATAAATGGTGATCATATGACCGCAAGATAGTGCAATTATTATAAATGCATGCCAGTTGCCAAGCACTCATGATGCAACAGTCCTAAGTGTATAAACTGGTTATAAGTCATTTTTTTAGTGCTGCTGCAACTTCAAATGGTCACTAAAAGAATTATTGTAAATGAAGGACTACCTGAATAAATATAAAGGTTTCCCTCGCACAAATGTGCTAGTCGTTTCCGGCTCTAGGGAGCAGTGCTCAACTCCAATAAAAAGCCAAAGAGCCTGTGCTGTTTGAAGACGTCTCTGTGGTCATGTGGCCAACATGACTAAACTCCGAAGGTGCACAAAACGTTGTTACCTTCGCATCAAAGTGGTCCCTATTTTTCTACTTGCATTTGCACATGCTTTCCAACTACAAGGTTGGCAGAAGCTAGGACAAGTAACAGGAGCTCACTCCGTTACGCAGTGCTAGGGATTCAAACAGCCAAACTGCTGACCTTTCTGATCGACAAGATCAGCGTCTTAGCCACTGAGCCACTGCATCCCCACCTGTATACAAATAGGAATAAGATTAATTTAAGATGCAGTAACATAACAATTATATACATAAACCTATAAAACCCATTGAGCTGATCTAGCTAACCATACCTATAAAATCTATTATCTATAAGACCTGCCTATTTTATTAGCTGTTTATTATTCCTTTGTTATGCATAAGTGAATTTCTCTGTTTTTACCCATGTTCTTGTTAATTTTGCTTATTTCCATTAGGAAAGTAAAGCTGATTTGTTGCTGCCAGATAATCTCCAACCCATATTTGCCTGTGTTAAATAATCAAGGCACATGAATCAGAAACCTACATCTACAACCTGAAGTGTCTACACAGGAGTTGACTTGCCCTCACCATCTCTGAAAGAAAAGTGCCTTGTTCCAAACTATGGTACAATAAGAGAGAAATACGCCAGCAGCTAAATCCAACAGCTTCATGGTATTGTACACAATAATGAAGTTGAAGCCCAAAGGTCCTGGTATATGGAAATAATTTCAAAGCCTTTCAAAACGACTTTGTAAAACTGAATGACTTTCTTCACCTTAAAAGGCATTTTTGTTCTTTTGCACTTCTTTCTGGTATTAATGAAGTATTTTAAACACAAACTACATCCAAATCTGGAAGTCCACAAGAGTTTTGTACAAGTAAAGGCAGTTCTCGACTTATAACCATTTATTTAGTGGCCATTTGAAGTCATAACAGTGCTGAAAAAAGTGATGTATGATCAATACTCACAATTAAGACTGTTGCCACAACATAGAGTTATGTGATTAAAATCTGGGAGCTTGGCAACTGGCATGTATTTATGATGGTTGCAGCATCCTGGGGTCATGTGATCACCATTTGCTATCTTCCTAGCCAGCTTCTGAGAAGTAAAGTCAATGGGGAAACCTAGATTCATTTAACAACTGCACTGATTGTAGGAAAAAACACTTCAAAAAATTGGGTGTGACTCATTTAACAGTCTCCTTGTTTAAGTAATGGAAATTTTGGTCTGAAATGTGGTTGTAAGTTGAAGACTATCTGTGTTTGACTTATGGCCATTTGTTTGGTAACCATTTGAAATTATGATGGTGCTGAAAGAAGGAATTATAACCCTTGCTTGAATTTTGAAGATCACTCTATAGACAAAAGATTGTTTCCAGGTCTTTTCAACTAATCTTTAATGAGGAAGTTAACCCATATTAAAATGGGAAGCACTTTGATATAATATAGTTTAAGGAAACCTGTGAAAATAGTTTTTGTAGAAGAAGTATTATCATCAACATTTGTTATTTACTGGTAATTATTTATTCTGCAACATTTGCATATTTCTTGTCAAAGAGATTCTGGGTCAGGTACAGAAAAACAAAAACTGAAAATCTTAAAACATATTACAAACATTCACAATAATAATCATGAGATGGTTGCTCACACAGTCCACAGATTAAAGAAAGGCCCACTGAAAATACACTGCTCAAATAAATAAAGGGAACACAAAAATAAGACATCCTAGATCTGAATGAATGAAATATTCTTATTAAATACGTTGTTCATTACATAGTTGAATGTGCTGACAACAAAATCAC